AACGAGAAAATGAACTTTAAACAGGTTCTTGCTTCATTGAGGCTATACTTTAAAAAAATAAACAATAAGAGTGAATAGTGACTTGAAATTACCATAGTGACTATGTTAGAGACTTACTCTAGGTGTTTATTGACTACTGAAATGTATTTAAGTCGAAACAGATAAGCTTAACCTATACTGGTCTTACCACCTAACCTATACAGGTGCATAAAAGATATTTTTTGAGGAACGAAAACTCTAACTACTCCCCCAGAAATCTCATAATGGAACCAGTAATTGTTGATTATGAGAAGTTACAAGTGGGTCACCAGTGCTAGAGTGATATGGAGGAGATGGTTTGTGAGGAAGTGGAGCAGATGAGAGATTATGGGTAATTGTGATCCCAGTCAGCTCGAGAGGAGAGCACCAAACAGAACAAAGTGGAGATGTGTTATTGCAGCTCTATGTTCCACTTGGAACCCAAGGGAATAATAATAATAATGAGGACAGTAATAAAATGAAACCTATCAGATCGAGGGTTAATCATATTATAAGTGGGTAACATCAGTGCGTCGGTGGTTCAGTATCATATAATGGTCACTAGCCCCACAAGAGGGATTCTGGCATCATAATTACCTGTCTACTCCTCTCCTAAAACTCATCTACATTACTAACTGGCAATTAATAGGCCCAGAAAAGGGGAAAGGTTTGGTACTAAGTTAACATTCTCATCGCGTAACAACAAAAACAAATGCCACTACTACTGAAATGTTAAAATCTTGAAGGCGTACGATGTTCCAATCAGCACGCAAGGAATGCACACACAAAATAAACTGTGATAATGTCAAACATGATTAATTTGATTTTCCCAGTCAATAAGATTTCACCTAATTAATATGTATGTGTAGGTTGAAATAGTCTCTCCAAATAACAAACACTAATACACTTAGTAAATGATCACCCTTATAATTGTTTTAAATGTTAATGTTTAAGTGTGAATTAATTTACTAGATAGGATTATGCATTTACTAACTACACGACATTTAAAAAGGATTCAAGCGTTGGTTTGCTGAAATTTGATTTGTTTGGTTACAGGATTTCATCAGCAGCTGATAACGGTCAGGGAGTACTGGACAGCCAGCTGTCTCGTCAGCCTAGTATGGAACTCTTCAGCAATACGCAGTGTTAGAATACAGGACCTTCTAGTTACAAGGCGAGCTAATTCGTTGACTATTAAGCAACTGGGACCCAACTCCTCTATGGCCACCCCATGAATTCCAACTTCTGCCAATTGACGATATAGCACGACTGGCGCTAGCCAATGTCTCTGCGCAATCTAACTAAAACAAACAAGAGACTGAAAGTTCCATCTAAAATCAGAACACTATGGCGCATGCCTTCAACTTGCGTGGTAGAGTATGAACAGTCTCCATATTTCTGTTCCATAGATATTTATCACGTCTGTAGTTCAGAACTACCACTGTGCGCCGATGGTCCAGGGTTCGATCCCCGGCTGACGCACTCCTAAATCTCGTTAAGCCAGTAATAAGACTGGTGAAGAGTGCATGAGGCGGCTCGCAAACCCACCCCTCAAAAATAAACACCACTGCTACTGAAACGTCAAGCCTGTAGCTTGAAGCCGCCCTATGTTCCACTGAGAATGTAAAGGAATTACCACCACCACTGTGAAGAAACCTTAACAGTGTATATAAGCTTTCTGATGTGATCATGCCCTCTGAACTGGATGCCATAATTATGAAGCTTTCATTATCCACCTAGACAACATCTTCAATGCCTACTCCAATGTGAATTGAGTGTACATTAGTGTACAAATTCTTAAATCACACCATTATGGATAAGATAAAGTCTCACACAGTGTTGAACAGTAATATTAACTGATGATCACTTTTTGAGCATAAATTATTGCCGCTCATACTCATATCCAGTCACTACTCACATAACTTTTCACTTCATTTCTATACATGTGTGGAATTGACTAGATATTCAAATAAAATCAATATAGGCTAATGTACATTGAGAAATAATAACATGAGTGTTATTGATCAATTACAGTCAGATGGGAAACAAGACGAGTGTTTTTATAGTCGTCATAATAAGTAACTTGTTAGAATGTTATAAAGTATGTGAATTGAGACAGAATACAATTTAAGATCTTTTATTATCCTCCTGTGATTTGACTAACTGCTGGTAATAATATCTTCCATATCTGTAGTATTTGCATTGAGTCATTTCTGTTGCATGTGTTGGGTGTAGACTCAATGAACCAGGATTGAGCAATCAATCTCTGTCGCTCTCCACCTACTCATATTACTTTTTAGAATTTGGACTCTGTCCCACCCTATTGTGTGGTTGTGTGTTAATGCATGTAGTGCAATTGCTGAACTTTTTTCTAAATTACTTATCTTCGCGCGTGGGGTCAACCATTCTTACCTTAGCTGAATTCTTATATCTTGGCGGTCTAACTACCTCGATCTACTAGTTTCACCACTGTAGTTCACCTAACTCACAGTCATTCCAAGGTATTTTGAAAATTATATTATTTTGTTTAATTGGGTCCACCGGGTCATTTAGTCTACAGAGCTTGTCTCTGAGTGAGTTTGTAGGTTTGAATGCCACCCGGATTCTTGCTTTATTAAGAATCTTATGTAGGGTCTTAGATATCCCCTCATTATACGGTATAACAGTAGATGCCTTATATTCTCTCTTATTTATGTTATCGCTACTAGTTTCGCAATTATTTTTATTTTGCTTTTGGCCTTTTTCGAGATATGCATGGTAGATATTATTGCCACCAGTCAGTCAGTCAAATCAGAAGAGGATAATAAATAATCTATAAATTCTATTTCAATTCAAGCACATCACAACATTCTAACAACTTATTTATTATGACTATAAAAACACTCGTCTTATTTCCCATCTAACTGTAATTGATCAGTAACACTCATATTATTAATATTTCTGAATGCATATTATCACATGTTAATTTTTATTCAAATGTCTAATCGTCAGTTTCAGTCCTGTGTATAAATGAAGTGAAAAGTTGTGTGAGTAGTGACTTGATATGATTATGATTGGCAATAATTTGTCCTGGAAACGTGGTCATCAGTAAATATTACTGTATAACACTGTGTGACATTTTGTCAAAATAAAATCTTATCTATAATGGAGCTATACTCTTCCACAGTGCCCAAGTTTTATACTTATATTCTTTAATAACAGTTTTCGAAAACAGTTCATTTAAATATGGTATTCTTCATAAGATATCAAGAGTATAGCTTTTCATGTTCGATACATATTATTTGTTCCCATGTTAATTTCATATTTTCCACTGGATTGATCATAGCAGAACGAAGTGTTCAGTCTGTGATGATATGTTGACTCCTAGTATGGAACGCTTCAACAGTGTCTAAGGATTAACATGAATTTATTTCCCTAAACAGTAACCTCACCTTAAACATCATCAAGGCATCTATACCATAACTACTTCTTTCAAACATAATTAATTAAGGAGAAAATGCCAAGTTAACCTGAGAAGCTCTTTGGAATTCGAATTGACTTATGCTGGGTTCGAATATCAGTGAGAATACTCTCATTAAACAGGAATGCAGATACATCCGGAAGACGAGTCTGTAATAGGACGAAATGTGCACCTTGAATTCCACAAATCAAAATAACTTCTTAATACTTCACTTACTCGGTGATGATAACATCAATGAGATTTTAACACAACCCCTAAAGAATACGGACGTGAAAGCAGCATTCAGTTCTGATGAATTATACTGTGTATTCTAAACCACAACACCCCCTTTTTTGCTTTCGAGGGTTAAGGATAAACTGCTTAATTTCGCGTCTTCTTTCTATGGGTATCTATCAGTCTGACTGCTCCTGTGAAGTCAGTTACATCGGCCATACAGTTAGGCGTGTTTATCGTCAGATCTCCGAACACCATTCTGAATAGTGTTCAAGTAAGGGAAAAACAGTGTCCATTCTTATAGTTCCATATCATCTCACCTCCCAGATACACAATACAACATTGATGTAAACAAGATGGCTGTCAAAGTCATCTACAGTGCACTAACTATGCTTAATTTTACCTCAGAAGTTCGTCTGTTACATATTACTGAGGCTGGCTGCTGGAATCCACCTTAATTAAGAAGCCTAATATATGTGTCCAAAAGGAGAAGATGGTTCAGACACTTTCTTTATTCCCCTGGCCATCAAGATTTTAATGGTCCTTAATTTACTACAGAGATTTCCTTCATTCTATTTGACATTCTATTCACTGTTATACTTTCATGCTTATTACAATTTATGCGTCTTTCGTGAACTGTAATTCCGCTGATCTTACTTAACAAATCGATAGTATTTAAAAAACACCAATAGCCTTAATGACGACTATTCAAAAATATCCTATGTATATAAACATATATATATATATAATTAGAAAATCTGGGTGTACTAGTTCGGGACTCTTCACAGCACGTGCTCACCAACAGGGTTCGAAGCAAGTACCTTCCAGTTCACAAGGCGAACTAGCTCGTAGACCATTAAGCCACTGGGACCCAATCGATCGAATGACCAGTCAGTGCATGAATTCAAACTTCTGTCAATTCATGCACGACAGAGCGTGACCACTATGCAATGTCTTCTTCGGTGAGTCAATTAGTCACCTTCAACCTGCTATACCCTACCGGGCACGGCTTCCCACTAGAACCCCAGGTTAACTGCTTGAATAGGGCCAGTCACTAGTGAGCATCAGATTGATTTTCAAGTATTGGTGTTGTAGGAATATTTTTGTTTGATTGGTTGGAGGATTTCATCATGAGCTGATGTCAACTAATGTCCGAATGAATATTTTTGCTACAAATAATTCCACTCGCGAAACTATCATCTTAATACTCCTCAAACGTAGAAATGATATTCATGCAAATATTTTTTTGACGCAAATTTAAAAGCATTTCTATGCTGTTTTCAAATAAAGACTGAGGCAGTTTACTTACTGAATTGATTATTTCCATTAGTATTGGTATATCCTCATCTTTTCGACATTGAATAACAACACGTCGCATTGTGAAGTAAGAATAATCCACAAGCTAATTTTTAAACTATCGTTCCCTAATTTTTAATGCAGTCGTGTGTTTACGCTATAATAAAAACAGACTGATTAAGTAAGTAGTCAGTCATTAGATTGACCAATCAAAAAGCGAAGGTCAAACACACACACTGGAATGCTATTGGTTGATTATAAACAGCATAACAGCTGTTCAATTCGTAGATTAATACTGTTTAACTTAAATCAATAAGCTATCTGAAGACTAATCAAAAAAGAATACCTATATGTATATAAACCGAAAACTGGACAAACTTTGAATATCAAAGGTACCACCACTATCATATGCACAGCAGTAATTTCGGTTAACAAAGAAATAACATTTTGTGAAATAATAGAGAAGATTAGTAGCTCAGGTGGGTGATTCTTCAGAAAGGACTCAACTACAATACAGATGACGCTTCACTAAAAGATTTCTGGGCTTCCTTAGAATCATCACTCAAATTATCAAAATTAAATGAGGAAATACAACAACAAGAAATATGTCAATGTATCATACCTATACTCAAAGAGGAAAGACATAATTCCCAACTTAGCACTGAAGAGCAAAATGCATTGAAGCAACTGAAGAATAGAAAAGGCACATAGTTGTTCTACCTGCTGATAAAGCAAGAACAACAGTTATCCTGGACAGAGAAGACTACATAAAGAAAGCAGAGGATTTACTCAAAGATAATAATGTATATCAACAGTTGACAAAAAACCCAATACAAACATTCGATAACAAAATCAGAACAACGTTAAATAAACTAACGAAATCAGGACAAATTACAGAACAAGATCAATGGCGAATGAAATCTAACGCACCTATTTTACCTCGATTTTATGGTAGACCAAAACTACACAAACCAAACATCCCCTTACGACCAATCGTTTCGCTTCCAGGAACATCACCAACATATAATCTATCTAAAGAACTTTTCAGGAAATTAAATTACCTAACAGAATCATGTAACCATTCTATCAATCGATTCGTCAATCCAGTTTTTAGAGAAAATCAAAAACATTCAGGTAGAAGGCAATGAAATAATGGTGTCCTTTGATGTCACACGGCATTATATACTCCAATTAGTCCAAAAATAGCAACAGAAACTATGCAACAATTACACCATAGTGATGAAAACAAAAAAAACACAATGTTCAACTTGGATAGAACTCATAGAATTATGCCTTACAACATTCTTCCAATTCAATACTCAAATATATGAACAGATAAAAGGAACACCAATGGGATCATAGCCCATATCAGGATTAATAGCTGAAGCCTTCATGCAAAGATTAGAATTAATAGCTCTCCCTATAATTGAACCGAAAATCTGGTCACGTTAAGTTGATGATACATTTGTTATAATTAGGAGGAATGATTTAGAATATACCCATAAATTAATAAACAACATATTTGAAGACATCAAATTCACCACGAGAAGAGAAGAATTAGATAGCAAAATCCCATTTTTAGAAGTCTTAATCAGGAGAACCAACACAGGAAATTTAGAAAAACACTTATACAGCGTATCAACGCACATATCAAATTCTCAACTGTACTAGCAATAATCCAATTACTCACAAAAGAAACTGTGTGCAGACATTGTTTAAAAGAATTCAAACACAACACTGTAGCACTCCAGAGTTGAAAAGAATGGAAGAAAAATAACTACAAACGGTCTTCAAAAAGAATGGTTATCCACAAAATTCCATCAAAAAGTGTTTAAAATCGAATCACGACACCAACAAAGAACCATCATCAAAGATCACAAGAAAATTCATCCTACCATACATGAAAAATATCTGTGAAATAACAGCTAGAATATTGAAACCGTTCGAAATAGATTTAGCGCACAAGCCATTCAAATCACTTAATTCGATAATATACAAACCGAAAGATCCAACAGAAAAAGGAGATAAAATTAATACCATTTACAAAATAAATTGAATGTATGAACTGTAACAGACATTACATCGGCCAAAGTGGGTGTCCACTTCGAACTAGAATCCAGGATCACAAATCAGCCGTGAAAAGACATAATATATATTCTATCATATCAGTGCATATAGACAATTATGGACATCAGTTTGATAACTGGTATAATGTGGAAATCTTAGACAGAGGAAACACCAAAAGTGCAGTGCCAGGGAATTCCTAGAAGCCTGGTACTCAAATGAATATGCAATTAACAAACATTTTAATATAGGCCAAGTATACTAACTAATAAAAAGTAAATCATGTGACCAGAAAGTTTAAAATCCAAGTCAACCGAAAATGATCAATACATAAGTACAGGTGTTTACGAGGAGACGCAATTCCATCACTCATGAAAAACTTAAATCAGTTCACTTTATGCATAAACATTGCGCTAAAGATGGTGTCCAGAAGGACGACGAGAGCTCCGGAACTAAACCAACGAGCTCAGAGAACACTATCAATTGCAAAACAACAACATTACTAATCCCCTTAGCCTGTATACTATAGCTTTTAAGTCTTGACTGAAACGCCTCTCCGCTGACACTTGCAACACAATAGTATTGGGAACGTCTAGACAGTGAATGCATAGTAAGTCAAGAGCATGTACCAATCGATTAAATTTATGCCACCTTGGTGAATTTGAATGAAGCAAGAACAACAACAGCGGTGGTTTGTACAGAATAAGAAGATGGTACCATCATTGTTTATTTCGTTGGCTTCTCATCAGCTGCTGCTTACAGCTTGTAAATTTTTCATGATGTCAGTTAGTGACAGAAAGCTCCGCAATTAGTGAACAATGCACAGGCAGTTCAAGTTTAAACAAAATCAATCTATGCATACAATACTAAGAGACTTACGTAATAAAGTCGAGAGATGCATAAGATGCTAAGTGACTAATAATAATAAACTAGGTAACAATGTATTTAGTTCAACTCAAATCATAGAAACAAATTTTTCTTTCCTTCACGTTCCTAGTTGAACATAGAGCTCAAGCTAGAGGCTTGAAGTTTTTACAGCAGTGTTCATTTTTACAGGATGATGTTGTTAACCTCATGCCCAAACTTTTCTCTTTACCAGCCTTTATTTTTGGCTAAGCGATGTAAAGGAGTGCGGTGGCTGGGATTAAACCTCGGACCATGTTCATGGTCATCGAGTATCCTAACCGCTGTGGCACCAACGCACGTCATAGAGAAAAAAGGCAAGCAAAATTACACTATATCAAAAAGAGGGTGAAGTTTAAGCCAAAGAATACGTGATCAAATGAAAGAGAGAGAGAGTAAAGACATCCACTTACCAGGTAGGGCAAGGAAAGACTAATAACTGCTTCTTTCTGAACACATAAATCTGGTTGCAAGCGTTCGATAGAAATTGCTTCGGTGAACATGAGGAGAATCGAGCTCCTTTGTCTAGCGATAATTTTCAAGGATTTCGTGATTTCCGCCTCATAAGAGATGTCTGGTAATAGAGCTATTCAAAAGAGTTTGTTCCCTTGAGACGTAGGCTTTTCGGTACATGTTCAGAAAATCAGAAGTGTGCCCTTCTTTCCTTTAGGTATCTTTCCTGACTAGTAATTGCGTTATTAGATGGCTGGTGGCAATTAAAAGTAAGCCCTATACCTACGTTTTGTGACTATTTTGGTGCATTTGCAACCTTAAAGGAACTGATTTCCTCCTTCTCTGAGATTACAACTCACATTACCCAGTCCTGTAGAATTCAGGCGCCAGCCATTGAATCAGGTCCCAGTGGCTCAATGGAATACGAGCTTGCCTTGTAGCCAGAAGGTCCTGGGATCGAACCACAGTGGGTGCGTACTGCCGATGATTCCCAAACTAGGATGAAACAACTTTCCAGTACTGCAGTGGTGGTTTTCAATGGTTCTCTAACTGATAATATCAATCTGTGATCAACTCGTAAAAAACAAAACTAACCCTTACAAACTAAACTATAGACAATTGTAAGATGTTCAGAAGCATATTTTGAGACCCGAAGACATAAATGGAGAAAACTTACGTCACCTATTGGAACACACTGCCACCCACAATCAGTCCATTCCTCAAGTTTATTAGGAACTTTAGAATCACAAGCTTGTAAACACTTTAAATACCCAGAAGAGTAGATAATACCATCAGAGGGGTGATATCTTAATCGATTAAAACAAACCAAACGACAGACAAAAAATATATATGCAACAGAGAGAGAGATGGAAGTTTTTGGTAGCCTACTTTTTAAGCAGGCCGCTACTGAGTTTGGTGATTACATCGCCAAATTCCCCAACACCAGGAAATACATACATTATACGGGTTACTTACTAGTGATCAATCAGTGTAGTAATTACGTCATGGTAAATTACATGTATGCATGAACTCTAATGGATGTCGATTGAATTACGTACACACGCAAAAAAAACACTGAATGATTTGTATACCTTTGCTTTTATAGAATAGTTGTAACATTCGAATCACTCTTCATCTACCTGTACTTAGGCAACTGGATAGTATCTTCAGCGCTCAGTTCAATTAATCCAGTTTCAAGTCTAACGAGTACAATGCATGAAAGACATTCATGATGAAAATTCATGATTTGTTTGACATTCTAAGTGATGTGAGGATTGCTATTGTTGAAAAGAACTGCATGGTTTATACTGCTGGCTAATCTAGATAGTTCTAAATAACACAAACTATTCAAGACGTAACAAGTAAGTATAAAATTTGCAATTTTCACAGTTCAAGGAATTGAAATTTCACCGCAGATTCTTTTGAAAACCGTAATTATTGAGATCAAAATACGGAGCCTATTTGATAACATAAACTGCAATCAAGAAATCAGGTATAAATGCATGACTCCACATACTACTGACTGACTGACTGACTGACTGAGTGATTTGTGTAGTTTGATATCACTCACACCAATCATTAGTGCTTGTTAACCACATCAAAGTGAACTGGTTCAAATGTCAGCTGATAGATGACATTGCAAATTAATACCTCATTTCATCAACGTCATATTCCAAAATCTTTTTTGAAGAGAATCAAAGAGTATTGAAAGCTGTCAAATATAAAAAGGAAAAATAGTCATATCGCAACCTGACAAAGGCTCACGGGTGATGACAATGATGGAC